AAAAAAAACTTTCTCCTAGTTCTAAATATATAAGCAACCGAGTAAGTTAGTTGAGAAATTTGTTCTAATCTTAATTATAAGATCCCAATTTGCTTTACCTTTCAAATTTACAATTTTTTCTCAATCCATCCCTAATAATTACATATATTAAATACAATTTCTATTAACGGGGTAATGATTAAAGAGGTATTTTAATAAAACCAACATACATTACTATAAATAACAAACATAACCAATTTTTTTTAGATGTTTTGTAAATTAATTAATTATTTAACTCATCCTTATAATTGTTGGAAGTACAGTATAAGAGCTTTCTTTCAATTGAGGCTCCACTTAACCCAAATTTGGATTATGTCGCTCCCAATATCATTTTAGCTTATGGGTAGGAAAATTATGAAATTTTGCTTATAATTAGGCTTTACTGTACTCAAACTTGAATTAAGAACAAAAGAATTGATGAATCAAGTTTTCATTGGCTCATCCAATCATAATCATACTTGAACACTTACAAAGAAATAATTAAAACAATCACTTCAACTAGCATGTCATGATATAGTGAAAAATTAATTAGACTATTGACTCTGTCCAAGTCATAGTAATTAACTAGTTGGTTAGAGTCATAATTCAATTTAATTATTTTCAAATGAAAGTTGTAAAGATAATGCTATGAAGACTTTGTCCACTTTAATAGATTGAGCATTTTTACCATTAGCAATTAGAAGTATAAGCTTAATCTCCTTGAACTTTTATTCTGTCAGAGAATCAATGCTACTCCCTCCAATCGTAATTATGGGAACCAATTAGGAGATTTATTTGTACTCTAAATATAAAATTGCAATTCATTTTATCTTTTAAATTTATAACTATTTTTTCAAACTATTCCTATTAAGTGCACATAGTAATGGGTTTTTAATCAAGCAGTAATTTTAATGCAAAATTATATTAAAAAGGATATTTTAGAAAAATCAATACACATATTTATAAATAAGGCACTTAATTAATTTTTAATCTATGTAAATTAGTTTTCTAACTCTTGTATTAAGAATTAGATGAAACGTAATAATTACTCAAGACGAAACTACTCTAATTTGGCACCAAATTAAAGAAGCAAAATTTTGATCATTTACCTCCTACAAAAAGTGTGAGACCCAAATTAAATTGATTTAGGTTGTAATAGTGAGTCAAACTATAATTGAATTTTCAATTCTTAAAAAGAAAACTTCAAATATTTTCAATTCATTAAAAAGAGAGTCGATGATGAAGCCGATATAAATAACATTTACTATGTTTCTGTGGAAGATATCAGTTAAAAGTCTATCATTTAATTTATTTCATATAAAATTAATTGTTGTACCTTATCAAAGCAATTAATTGTTGTAAAAAATATTTTACTACAAAATCAATCATGAATATTTTATAAAGCTATAGTTTGGTATTTTCTATGGATGATTAAAATTTGTTATCACTTTCTTCGAAAATGACCTCGCAATATCAAAAGATCAAATTATAATTCTCAAAAATATGAGCGGCCAATTTTAAAAATATTATTAGACTATTAAAATTCAAATTATTATGACTAATATTACAATTTTCTTTTGATTGGAAGATTAGATGCTTTTCCGAAATAAATGAGCACTGATTAATTAGGTACCACTCAGGTTATATTGGCTTCCACTCACATGAACACAGTTCCAAAATGATGACATACAGTGATTGGACCAGGAAATATAATAGTGGTCAATTAATATTATTCCAAATATCACTGCTGGGCTCTGGTTAAAAAAAAAAGAGAGGAGAAAACGGTAAATAAAGACTCCCAATATGTTAAATTATGATTTGGGACTCTCAATTTAAAAAATGGCATATAAAGACCCGGTCTCATATTGTATTCATGAAATCTTGATGAAATGTCTGAAATGCTCCTCATTTAAATTTTGATTTAATCTACTGAAATTGTTATTTACTAAATTGAACTTGTTATTTTTTATACTCTTAGCCAAGTTGTGATTTGGTCTACTAAAGTTATCATTCGTTAAAGTAAATTTGTCATTTCCCATAGTTAACTTGTCACTTGGCTAAAGGGTATTTTAGATATTTGATCAAGATTTCATATTTGTAATATATGGTCGGGACTTTATTTGTTATTTTTCAAATTGAGAATCCCAAATCACAGTTTCACATATTAGGAGGTCTTTGTTTGCTATTTTTTTCCAAAAAAAAAGGTACAATATTTTACCCCCAAAAGAATTGCACAGTGCCTTAATTAATTACATATTGAACAATCTTGCATATGTACAATATCGATTAATTAATTAAGTGGGCTTGACGAGTGAAATATTTTAATTAACAAATAATTAAGTTTTGAACAAAGAAGAGAAGAGAATAATGATGGGAATTTTAGGGAGGCATGAGAGGATCCCTTGGGGGACTACAAAATCCTTTGCCTTCCTCTTCATCATCTCTCTCTCTCCCCTTCTGTGTGTGCGCTTTTCCTTTATTCTTCTTTTCATCTTTTTCCCGTGTGAGCTGAGCTGCCGGCCACATGCTTCTGCTTCTGCACAGCTGCACATCAAGGCTCCATCTCTTAACCGGGAAAAATTATAAACAAAAAACCAGATTTAATATTAATTAATATTAAAATGCCTAAAAATATTAATTACCAAAAAGACAATACAAACGAGTGAAATAAAATTGCTTATGGAAGGGAAGAAAAATTGATTGCAAATTGATACCTTTGCAGATAATAGTGACACAGTGATTATTTGTCAATGTTGATCATGTTCACGTATGATATAAACAAACGTGAAAGGTGAATTCTTTTCACCTCTATTTGAAACAGATGTGACATGTGCCATACTTAGTATATCCCTTCTTTTAATTTTTTTTTTTTTGAAACAGACGTGAAAAAACCTCTAAAACAAAGATAAAAAATGCCGTTTGTGGTAGTGACTCTATCTATGTGGTAGTGTGTCTATAAACTTTAATAACACTCTCATAAATTCTGCAACAAATTGTAAAGAGAACGGAGTTTTTATGTGGTAACTTTATATCCGCTCAGAAAACATAATATTAAGACTTTGGAAATCATAGCATGCGCAATTTACTATTGACTATTGAGTTTTCAGGATGTTACTATGAGAATGTATTACTAGTTTCATATCTAAATTTTCTCATGTGGGTCTTTGTAAATAATCCTTTTTAAGGGACTTCATTGTAAATAATGTTGAATCAATGCCCTCCCTTGTCAGTTTCCCCCTTCTCTGGACCCTATTCATGGGTTGATTGTCTCTTATTTGGCAAAAAAAAAAAAAAGCAAAAACAAACTTGTCTTTCACAACTTGGCGACAGTGAAAGAAAAGAAAGAACAAAAACAACAAGTGGAGGCCTTCAACAGCAAAGCGTGGTCTTCCTATATTGTTCTAGTCTTGAGATACACACACACACATATAGAACTCTCACATGGTGCTTTTTTGTCCATTTCATTTTGGAACTTTCATTAATTCCCTCAAAATAATCTTTTTTTAAAAAACAAATTCTTTTCATTGCTTCTTAATTCCTTGCCACGTCATATTTTTCTTTTCTATCTCTATCTCCTCTTGCATATAGCAAACTAAAGTCTGCTCAAAAGAATAATACCAAATCCTTCTCTTTGTTGCTTTATATATGTTTCTGTCCTTAGCATCTATATAAGGTTCATGCAAGTGCCATATATGCTATTGTTCCAATTTTTTCTGACCCAAAAAAATTATATTGTTCCAATTTTAATTTCTCATCCCTATATATGTTGTGTCTCCCATTTAGAACAATCTCTCTCTTCCTATTGACTGTGCAAGACTTGATAAGAAACTGGCTATTTGTTTCACCGACTAGAAGAAATTCATAGTACTGTAATTAAGAAACAAAAAAAAATCTTGAAATTTTTATCAACTATTCAAATGCCATAAACAATTTCATTTAATTTTCAGAAAAATATATGAGTAATTTGATTTATTTTGACAATTTGAATTCACTCCACTAATCCTGTTTGAACTGAGTTGAAATATATAACACTGCAAATCGTCATTAATATATGACAATATACAATATATGAAAAATTAACATAAAATGTAAAATTTATAATGTATGGTATTGCATGCAAATCTAGCTAGAACAAGGCAACTTATTCCTATGCAGAAATGTGCCTAATATGATTTATTCTCACAATTTTCTGCCTAAATTTTTTTAATTAATAATCATCATATAGACAAGATTTTAAATACAGTCATGAAAATTTCAATCTTTACTGGGGAAAAAAAAATCAATCTTTGAAGAATTGATGCTTTTCATGATATCTTTTTATAATTAGATCAAAGTGGAAGTGGGATTTGCTCTATGAACTGCATTGGGTATTGGGCTCTTAGGGATTCCCTCTATTTACCTACACACATCGCTCTGATTCTCTCTGTACAAATGAATGTTACGTGGTAATGCGAGGAAACTATATGAGCCTCCTCTTCGTTATGTTTTTTTAAGGTTCTCTAAACTTTTCTCTGTCTTAAACTAATCAAAGATTCATCGTTATTTCTGCTTTATCTCTCTGTCCTCGTCTCGGATTTCGAATGTCTCTCTTATATATATTGCTGTCAATATTCTGCGGAATCCCATTATAATAGCACCCGAATTTCCATCTTTAATCAGACTCATCACGTGAATCTATTCAAAATTTAATTAAGCGGTACATTATTAGGTTAAAAAAAAATAAAGTGTATACATATGTAGATTATATATAATTATTATTTTCATTCACATCTCATTATGCTACCCTCCTTGTAAAGTGTTTTTATTTATCCACACTACTTCCATATCACGGCAAATTAAAACAGCATTTCAAGACCATCAAGTAAGGCTCACGTTGGCCACCTGATCTTTGTCTGTTTACTCTTTGTTTCAAACGATTCCTTTGAGAGATCAAGATGTTGGGTAACTGTGAGAAAATGGTACTCATCCCTCAAAACACTAAAGAATGGCCACAGGTTCTCTCTCTCTCTCTCTCTCTCTCAATAATTAGACATTACACGACCACTCCGATTTTGTTGCCTTGCTTTTGGAAGAGAATATCTACGCTGTCTAGTTATTTTACCCTAGAGAACGCCTCCTTCTTATAGTGGAGCTTGCTCTTTGATTTTCCTTCTTTTCATCTCATTTTTCCCTTATCTTGATTTTGATCTCTTGGTGAAGAGGCAGGAGATAGATGATCAAAAGGTGTCGATGGCTTCCTCTTCTTCTTCCTCAGCTGCTAATTCTCATCATCAAAGGGTTATGGAAAAGCCAAACCAAGAACTTCTTCAACAGCAACAAGAAGCTCTCAAGTGTCCTCGATGTGACTCATCAAACACCAAGTTCTGTTACTATAACAATTACAGCTTGTCTCAGCCTAGACATTTCTGTAAAGCCTGCAAGCGATACTGGACTCGAGGAGGTACCTTAAGGAATGTTCCTGTTGGTGGAGGTTGCAGAAAAAACAAGCGTGTGAAGCGTCCTTCTTGTTCTTCTTCAGCTTCAGAAACTCATCATAATATTAATATTACTACACCTTCTTCTAATTCTTCTTCTTCTTCTTCTTCTACTGTTGCTGGTGTCTCAGCTGTTTCAAACCCTCCTTCACAGTCTCGTCAGATCGATGTGGGTGCTTCCACCTCCAATCACATCAGTCCTTTATTTTATGGCATGAATCTTCCGTTTCCAAGGTTCAATTCCAGTTCTGGGTTTGATCATCTTCATCTTCATCAACCTCAGATTAATCACCATTCTCTTGGATTAGATTTCTCAGATAATGGTTACCGAAATGGGTTTTCTTCAAATCATACACTTCTTTCAAGTTATACCTCTTCCATCTTTGCTAATTCTTCTTCAACATCCATAACCACATCCAGTACTGCTCCCCCTCCTTCTATTATGGCTTCACTGTTAAGCTCCTCGAATCTGCAGCAACAAAAGTTCATCAATAGTGGGGCTGATAACAGTACTTTTCAGGGGTTCGGACGATTAGAAGAACTGGCAATAGCAGGCAATAATGATAATAATAGCACAAATACAGCTTTAAAAGAAGTGAAATCTGTGGTGGAAGATGAAAACAGGTTTCTGGGGTGGCAAAATAACCAGATCGATCATCAAGCAGGCTTGTCTGATCCTTCATCACTTTACTGGAACGCTGCAACAGCTTTGGGTTCTACTTGGAATGATCAAACCAATATTGGTCCTCAGTCACTTCTCTCATCTGATCTACAATAATATAACCACAGGATCAGATCCATCATTTTCATCTTTGTCCTCTCTCTCTCTCTCTCTCTCTAGCTCTGCCTCGTTTGAAGTCATCTTTTGGTCCTTTTCTTCAGCTTTAGCCTCTTAGAATTTCGGTTATTGATTACTTTGGGAAAACTACTACTACTTCTTTTTCTTAATCTGGGTCGTCAAAATGTGGGTGTGGGTTTACTTATTACACAAAAGAGATCAAAAAAAATGTTAGGGTGAAAGATGAGAGAAGCATGGATCGGAGCGATCATGTCAGCTGCAAGTATTAGTCTTCGGCCTGTAAGTTTTATGAGTCAAGGTTGAGGAATATATATTGCTTATTACAATTGCGCTGAGAGGAACCTCGGATCCTCTTCTCTCATACCAGTGATGTATCTATGGAGATCAAAAGGAGAAGATTCTAATCATTTTGCTGCAATTTCTCCATATGATCCAATAAGTTAATTATATTGGTCTTTGTCATGTGTACATATGCAATCACATGTCCTTTAATTCTTATGATCTTTTTCTTGATTTCTAATGTAGTTTGATTGCTTATTGGGTGGAAATTAGTTTGCTGGGCTTTATGTCTAATCTAGCTAGGTATATGCAATATGGCATGTTCTGAATTTTGGTTTTATTTTGTTTGTTTTGAATGGTCAGGGGAAATGGGGATATAGGGTAAAATGGGGTATAGGAGAGGGAGATTATTATTTACTTGGATTTGGGTGATTCATTTGTATGTGGGGGTGATGGTTTGGCTCATATTGTTCAACTTTAATGTACTTCTTTTGCTCTTTTGGTATTTCCAAGGAACAATGACACTTCTGAGGAAAATTGCTGTTTTGAAATACAGATAATTCATCTGCTTTTGGACCATTATTAATGCTCACATTTAAACCTACTGATCCGAGAATGCTGATATGGTGTGTATTCTTGTAAGTCGGGACTGGAGAATCCGGCCAAAAATTGTACTGAACAGTAGAAATTGAACGAAGGACTTGGACTCTTGTGTTGTGTCCGGAAGTGAGAAGGAACTTTGTATTGGAATGTATGGCCTTTATCACGTTTCAAGTTATTTAGAATCAAGTACTATATACATGGCTTTCAAACTTGACAATTATTGCATTTTATACTAATTCACGCTAATGTCCTCTTTATATATCAAGGACTTATACATATTCCATTGTTTCTTCATAAAAACAAAGACACACACAATTAATATCCAGCCATAATTATCATATTCTTCTATGTTAATTTGTTTCCCAGAGCATGTGGACACAGAATTATTCCTTTCCCTCCCTAAATATTAATTTACTAGATGAATAATTTATAAATTTAGTTATTTGTAAAAAAATATGTTTTGTTTCTTAAAATACTCTTTTAATTATTTGTATTGAAAACTACCCAATAGAAATCCACTTGTATAATATATGCAATAATAAGGATAGTTTGGAAAAAAAAATTATAAGTTTGGAAGATAAAATTAATTAAGATTTTATATTTAAGATCAAAACAATCTTTTCAACTAGGTCCTGTATTTAGAGTGGGGGAAGTATATTTTTGTCATATTTCTCTGTTTATGTTTTATTAGTTTAGGTTATTAGAAATGTCTCTTCTGTGTCTATTGGTCCTGTCATTTATCTTCGGCAACATTAGCATGTGCATTTTCACACTAGAGCAATAATATCCAGTTCTACTGGATATATCTTTTGAAAAGTTCTTCCTTCTCATAGAAATTTCTACATCCTGTTGCGTTCTTTTCAAGTACATTAGGGTGTCCTGGTTAAGATTTTTCAACGCAAAAATTAATCTACTCATGATCTTGCTTCAGATATAACTTTTTTTTTTGGGGAAAGTCTTCAGATACAATTTAGTTTCCAAAATTTTGACATCCAGCTATATTAAGTCTCAAACTTGCATTTTATATATGTACATTGTTTTCCATTTTATGCAAAACACTCTCTTCAATCCTACATGTGTATTGATAAAGAAAATCAGTTAAATAAGTTATTTATAAAATATGGGTATTGACTCCCTCCAGTGCTAAATATAAGACTCATTTTACACTACATATACTATTTTATAAAATAAGTCTTATATTTAAGACCGGATGAGTAGTTTTTGTTTTTGATAATTTGCATTGAAATTATCTCAGGATGAAAACTATGTTTTTTTTTTATGCACGTATAATGAATAGGAATAGTTTGAGAGAAGATTACAAATTTAAGAAATAAAGTAGATTGAAGTGTTACATTCGGGTCTAAAATAAACTCCGTAACTAGCTACTATATTTAAAACCAAAGGAAGTTTATCAGTGTTTGATAAAGCAATCTTCCCTTAATTCGGTTATTTAGAAATTTTCTTTTTCTCATCTTGATGCATCCAAGGTCAATTTCCTAATTAGTTCCCGTAGGCCAAACAATTTTTCTCAGTAAAACTGTGAAAGGATTGTTTCTTGTGGTTTGAAAACGTAAAATCTTATGTCACCATTGACTAATACTCTTTTAGTTCTTAATACAAAAGCTACTTAAGATTCCTCCAATTCTAAATATAAGATGTATTTTTTAGTGTAATTTATATTTAGGACTGAAAGAGTAATTTAGATAGATTAGAAAAGTTAAATAAATACTTAACTCTAATAAGGTATGATTTCTTTAAAAGATTCTTATGTAACCTTAGATTATATATTATTTGATAAGTTTGATAAATTAGTTTCGGTAAAAATGATATGAAAGATAAAATAAACTAAAATATTATATTTAGAACTAAAATTAAATCTCCAGCTAGCTTTTATATCAGGAGAATAGTAGTTACTACTCACCAATACTATTTTTGCATTGGTTTGAAATTTAGTAGCTGATCATTGAATTACAAAAGGGGGATTATTTTAATTGTGAAAATCACTTAAAAGACTATATATAATTAACTTGTCTTTAAATTCACATTATGTTTCTCTTATGCTAATTGATGTTCGAAGGCCCTTTTTTTTTTTTTTAACTAAACGTAATTATTCTCTTATTAGAGGCACATTTAGGTACTAAATATGGGTATGTCTCTTAACGAGTTTTAAATTTTTATTTGCCTTGTGAAGGACTAGCAAATGCTTTCCACTAGACCCAACTCTCATATGCATTTAAAAGGGACAATTACAACCATGTTCTAAGGAAAGAAAATAATTACTAGTAAGTCCAGAGAACAAGTAAGCTATTGTCATTTACTATTTTAAAACTTGTTATTACAGGTTACTCTATTGTAGTATTGTTACTTAAAATTTTTAGCAATTATATTTCTTATTTAGGACTTCATTGAAATTCTTCCTATTTAAAATGATATATATATATATATATATATATATATATAGACACACATATATATGAAATCTCTTAAGTTACTTGAACATCTGGCCAACAAGCCCAGCCCAATACAGTGAGCATATTCGAATCCACAGTCCAGTTCAGGTACTCCTGCAGAATGCTGTGAAGACCGACTAGAATTCAAATGGTCCAAGAACAGTTTATAGTTGTACAAGCGAAAAACCTCGTAAGAACCCCAAGAAGCAAATTGAAGCCCAAGTAGACATTATTAATCTATAGATATTAAGTAATTAGTTTGTAAAAAATGTGTATTAATGATCTTCTTTAGACACCCTCTTTAATTATTTGCAGCTAAAACTGCCCTAATATGAAAAAATTCCCTTATTATATACATAATTAATGAGGATAATTTAATAAAAAATACTGGACTTGTTTGGTTTCTTGTTTTAAAATAATTTTTTGCAAAAAAGAAAAAACTTGTTGGGTAATTTCTTCTTAGTTATTTTTTAAAAAATAATATGTTTTTAAAAATTTAAAAACCAAAAACGATTTTTTAGATGTTTTCTCGTTTTTATTTTTTATTTTAAAAAAGTGAATAAATCTTCTTTTTTTCATCCACCTCCTGCCACGTTTTACTACCGACAACAGTTAACACCTACCAAATGTGATTTTTTAGGTTTTTTAAATTTTATTTTTTCAAAATAATTACTCAAACATTTTTTAAATTTTTTTATTTTCAAAAACTGTTTTAAAAAACAATTTTCTAAATTTTTTCTGAGAACAATAAAACTAAAAACAGAAACAAGCAAGTCCTTAATAATTTTAGGAAACAAAATAAGTTAAAATATTATATTTAAAACCCAAAACAAACTCTCTAACTAACTTGTATATTCTTAGGACTAGAGAGACCACTAAACAATGACAATTGTCGTGAAACCTCGTACACTACGCAACCATTACCCAAAGAAGCAAATGATCAAAAGATTCCAATCAAATGAGCTCTTCAATTAATTGCTATGGGGAGTCCCAAAAGCATTGGCATAAAATTCGTTCGCAATTCAAAAATCATCAAAAACGCCTAATTAAATCACATATTATTGTTCCAAGAGGCATTTTTTGGGACTCCCCATAGCAATTAATTGAAGTTCCCATGTCAAAAACGCCTAATTCAATCACATATAAGTTTGGTTTGGGCTTTAAACTTACTTCAGTGAATTGAGTTAATTTAAACAAGTTAATTCATTAAATACATAACTGGTATTGGGTTATATTGATCAGCTATAGACCCAATTGAATATCCCTTCAAAGCACTTTAAATTTAATCTTTGTTTTCTTTTTTTTGAAAAAGCATAACACTTGAGAATAAAAAAAATTAGCAATGAAATTTCTATCACTAATCAGTTTAATGACATAATTTCGTCACTAATCAATTAATAACGGTATTTTTTGCCACAAAGTTAGCAAATTTCGTCACTCATGTTTTTTAGTATATATGATGTGAGATCGAACTTACATGTTGGTTCTGTAAATATACATCTAATGTCACTCGAACAAAGAGCCGTCGGCTTTTTTTTAATATTTTATTTTTAATTAATGAAATTTTCTGCAGAGTCTTATTCATAACAAGCTTAAATTGGTTGATTACGTGTGATATAAGCTCACATTATTTATTAATTAATTTTTTCCTTTGACGAAGTTGTGAACCATAACATCTCAATGTTTTTTTCAACCAATCCAACATAACCAAACAAAATCAAGAATAAAATAGAATTCCATTGTGATTGAAAGTGAGAGCTTAATTAAATAATAATAATTTTCCTCTTAGACAAATCTTAGTCCTTGCGTTTCCTAAAATTCAACTACCTAACATTGATCATTTACAATATTTTATTCCAATATATTCCCAACCCACCAAAATCATTCTCCATGAAAATTAAGCCAAATTGAAAAATGACAACTGAATACCCTCAATTTATACCTCATCAGCAATATATTGTTTTGCGTGGACACTTTTATGCGTGTATGATTTTTTTAATTAAATTAAATAATGTTAACCTATTACATAAATTTTTTAAATAATTTAATCATTATAGAGAACATAAGTCTTGTTTAATAATTATTAAATGGGACTAGAATAATGTTTTAACCGCAGTTTTAGTTATTTTTTTAAAACTTTAAAACATAGAAGTTAGAGTTAAGATGCAGATTTACCTTGAAAGTTTTTACTCAAAAACATTGAGTACCTGAAAATTTTTTAAGGTTTAATATTATCCTGAAAATTTAAAATCATAACAATTTTTCTTCCTACCAGAGTTTTGATCACAGGTCTAATGAAATCGTGAAGGGAAAAATAAAAAAAGAGAAGACTTTAGGTCTTAATGATATGTTATCAGCAGATGTTTTAATCCGCAGGAGAATTAAAAATTTTCCCCAAAAAGAAAGAACTAAAACAATCTGTTGCTACAATTTTTTATGTTACGTAAAGATGATATCGCATCGAGAAACTAAACTTTATATATCGAAAACTTTAAAATAAAGGACACTTCAATTTTGAGTAAGATACCTTGATCACTCTTTTATTTGGTCTTAATTACAAAAAACTTTGTTTCTATTTTGATAACATATATTTTAGTCCAAACTATTAACTTTGTCAAAAAATATTCTGAAAATATTATTTAAGTATATTTTTTAATAAAAACCCAACAACTTTACCTCTCATTATATTAAATCTCTAGTTTATCTTTTAAAACTATTTTTTTATTTCAAATAAAAATATATCATATGTGATTAA